GGAGGGGCAAGTTCAGCAAAAATTAACCAATTAATTAATGAGCCCCAGCCCCCCTCCCCTAACTGGCCTAAATCAAGTCCAACTCCTAACCTGCTTAGTATTTGGAATGGACAGCTGAGGACTGGGGGTGGGGTGTGAGGGATAAGGCCCCCCGCCACCCTCAGCCCCAAGTAAAACAACTTCGCACATTAACCCTTTGCGCTACTGCCATGCCCTTCCATCAGCTTCCATTCTCTGCCTTCGTTATTGCAAACTGGATTCCACTTACCCCAGACAGGAGGGAAGAAGGGGTCTGTGCAGAGGAAAAGCATCCAGAAGAGATGCCGCGCCAAGCGGTTCCCTCTCGCTCTGCGCCGCCCCAACTTCCATGGCTATTGCTGACGGCTGCGGGCGAAGTCTGGTGGGAAGCGACCGCCTCGGGCTCCTGCGGCAGGACCACAAAGCATCGTGGTGCCAAGTGGCTCAGCTTCCCGCCTGCGGGCAGCGGCCTCCCCTGCGCTTTCGGCGGGATGCAGGCCCTGGCCGGGAGGCGTGGCTGCAGGTCCCGGGTCCCCGCAGCTCAGAACCTGCAATCCTGGCGGCACCACTTTAATGAGCGCCAGGTGGCCCAGTCATCTCCCCGAGGAAGTTTTCCGCGAGTTGGCTCCTATACTTCCTCTCCACTGCGCAACCCCGGACCCGTGTGAGAGCGGAGGGGAGCTGACTGCTTCGTGTGGGGTCTCGGAGTGGCTGCCCAGGCACCGCTCAATCTGAGGACTGCTGAACGCGGATCGCGGGGTGCGGCAGGAAAGAGTCCTTGCTGAACAGGGATTCCGGGGCGCAGCAGGAGAAGAGTCCGGACAGGGAGAGATGAAGCAGCTTGGGGAATCTTGCTTAGTGCTGGTTCCACAATCGGAAGGAGAAGGGGAACAGATCTGATTAGATTCAACTTTAATTCACGAATATCAGGATGCATTCATTCATCTGCCTCGGGTTGTTTCCCCTGGAGGTCCAGAAGAAACCCCAATCTTCCAAGCTCTCCCCCATTCCCAAGACACCTCCAAGCCCTCTTCCCAAAAAGAACCACGTCATTTTGTGAAGAGAACCCCATACAAACCCCGTGTAGAGTCACTGGCATAAAACCGATGGGGCCATTCTGCACGAAAGTTAACTTGAACTTCTTCTACCAGAAATGTTTTATTTCCCTAGTGAAGTTGTCACTGTGTTCTCAGCATTTAAGCCGAGAACATTTGTCTCCGTGTCCCAACCAGAATCTGCAGAATCACATCCTTAAATATATGTTGCTCTAATCTTGGGCGCTGCTGTGTTGGGAAAGGCTAGAGGCATACGGGCAGCTACAGGGCAGATGGTGTCAGATGTCAGACTGCTCCACAACAAACCCCCAGTGTGTAAATCCTGCAGCTTTATTGCCTTGACTCAGACCTCTGATTGGGGGTTAATGAAGACAACATACTCTGAACTCCAAAGAAGTTGTAATTAGAACATCGGGTTGATGAACGTGTTTCATAACCAGGAACCATATCCTCTCCCTCTGTGAGTTTCTTTGTTTTAAATTTTAGCCCTTGAGAAAATATAATTTAAGCACCCATAAAGCATTGTGCCAAGCGTTTAACCAAAATGTGCAGAGTTCCTTATAAAAAAGTTTTAAGGTGATTCCCTCTCTCTGAGTTATTAGTAAAACATAATCCCAGGTAAAAAATTTTTTTGAGAGCTGGAGCTGGAATTGTTTTGGTTTTCCCCTCAATTTTTTTATTTTGAAAAAATTTCAAACACACAAAAATGTTATGTT